AAGATACAGCTATTCATTCAATGAATATCTATAAGCATTTATAATGTACAAGACGCTATGCTAGACGCAGAAGACAGATAGTGTCTGCTAATGGAGCTTACGTTCCAGTAGAAGAGAGAAACATTAAGCAAGTAAATGATTTACAGTGTGGTGACTGTTATTTTGCAGGGAGTGATATGTACAGGAGAATCACTAACTTAGTCTGGGAGATGGACACAAGAAGCCCCTCAAGGAAGTGAACTGAAGAATGAACTGATCAGTTGAAGGAGCAGAAGTGTTCCAGTCAGAGGAAATGAAAAAATACTATATCTATTCAACCAATTTATTATGAAGAGGCACTTAGTAACTATTTGCTGAGTGTGGATTAGTCTAGCACACATGGAAAAGTGGGCTTTCCCTGACATTAAGAGATCCAAGCAATTTTAAGTGCTCTGGATTTTCATGTAATACACTCACAAGAATAAATAATCAGCAGAATAGAAATATTAATAAAAATAAATAAAATTAAAGTAATAAATATGGAATGAATAAATTGGCTTTACAGGATGCCCATATGACATACAGAAGACAAGAAAGTTAAGGCAAGGTCTTAGATGGCTGGCTCTTGAATGTGCAACCCTCAGCACTACACAGGCATATAGAGGAAGCACAAATTTTAACGGAAAAGAGTCTCCCAGGGAGCAGAGACTCAACACCTGTGTCCTTACAGGAGTCCTATAAAGTGTCTTATTACCAGGTCTATAAATTATGCAGCCAAATCCTTCATTCATATTAATCAGTCTGTATGTCTTGTGCCTGTCAACCTAATTAAAATGTAAGGCAAGTGAATGAGAAGGTTGTTAATCTTGAGGGTTGAGAGGAATAAGGCAGGAGACATAGGCTAGGGCTGCATTTCCTTCAGGGATCAGAGGGGAGGCTGTTAACTCCTGGTCACACAAAACCTATTAATATAAACTTGGTTTTGACTCTAGGTTGAATACACCTTCTTAAACAACATGCTTAGTACTCTAAAGCAGTAAATGGAGAAAATCTCTCTTTCTTTTTTTGGTGAGGAAGATTGGCCCTGAGCTAACATCTTTTGCCAATCCTCCTCTTTTTGCCTGAGGAAGACTGTCGCTGAGCTAACATCTGTGCCAATCTTCCTCTATTTTGTATGTGGAATGCCACCAGAATATGGCTTGATGAGCAATGTGTAGGTCTACGCCTGGGATCTGAACCCGCAAACCCCGGGCCACCAAAGCAGAGCGCACAAACTTAACTGCTATGCCACTGAGCTAGCCCCCCAAAAATCTCTTAACTGTTAAAGAAATCTTATGATAAAGATCAAGGGAAGTTTACTGAGCAGGACACACCTAGAACAATTTAGAGACAATTAGGAAGCCCATAGACTTTCTCACAATATATGCTCTATATGCAAATCTTCAAATTTATTACTTATATCACCAATGGTGGGGTGACTTTGTTAATTCTGGTGATGCTCTTTGCTAGGAATATCAGTGAGAGTAGGTTTTAGTGATATAGTCCTTGAAAGTACCTATGAAGCATATCAGAGATGTCAGTTTGATAGATAACTTGAGTTCTATTGGCCTCTTTGTGCTAGTATATATTAGAGCTACATCCTAAAGAACATTTATAGTACTTGGGAGCTCTCCAAAAGAGTGGCCTGCCACATCCCCTAAGATTCACGATAAGAATATTCTTCAAACTGATGGGCTGGAGAAACCCCCATCACAAATCTTGCTTAGAGGCCTAGGATTTATTCTTAGATCCTAGATCAAAAATAAGCCACACCAGTGCCTGGCACATGGTCTGTGCTTACAAAGTATTTGTTGAATGAATGTTGAATAAGAGCTTTATGGTTACACCTCCTAGGAATTCTCTTCTCTTTGATTTCAGATTCCTCGTGCCTTTGGCTCTAAGTGGCCAGGATGAGAAAGTCACTATTATTCCCCATATGACTTCCTCATATATTAAAAATGCTCAACAATGATTCATACAGAAATAGTATCTGATTCACTGTGGCATGAATGTTGCTTAGCCTCTACAAAATACCATTGCTTCATCCCCTACAGAAAACAAGCCCACCTGTCTGAGCCATTCCCCACTCTTTGCCTATCATGGCTTCCAAGGTTCTCTGCCTGGCTCCACATGCTCCATGAAGTACCCAGAGCCTGCTGATGCTGTGGGGAAGACTCTTGAAGTTAAAAGAGGCCTCAATCAATTCTCTGGAGCCTGGCCTATTCCAGGCCTTTGAATCAAACAGCTCTAGCATCTCTAGGCCCTGCAGACACAATAGGAGTCTTAGTGATCTCTTCTTTAGCTGTCAGAGGAGCAGCCCCCAGCCAGACCACGGCTGGGAGACAACCGTGTCATCCCCTAGGCAAGGATGCCTGGTCTGTCTCTTTAGCTCTCCTGCTCTCTCATGTGCCACAGTCCCTGCTTAGCCCTGCCCACCTTTGGGGAAATTGCTACTGCTTGAAGATGCTCAGCAAGAGCTGGAAGACAGGCATTGGGGCCTTAACATCAAAGTAGGAGCAGAAACTGGCAAGCTTCTGTATCCCTCAGGCATGAGGGACGCCTCTCAGAAGCCTGGAACCAGGACATCTGCTCACTCCACACTTACAGCCTTCCCAAGACCAACCTGCCACACTTACTCCCCAACCCAATGCTCATCCAGCAGGAGGTAAGGAAGCACCATATACAGAATGGGTCCCCAAATCTCAATCTCTTCCATCCTCAAAGACAGACTATATACAGGGACCCGTGGAGACCAGGAACCTGGAGCTGGGAAGGAAAATACACACCAAGGGCTGCTGTACCTTCTAAGTTTTAAGGAGTACAAAAGGATGAAACAAAAGTCACCAGGCCTAGTCTCAGTTTTCCTAAAGCCAGCCCAGTCTCACCATGGGTCTGTGCTTAATCAGGAGTGTCAACATTCCCAGGAGGAAAGTCAGGAGAACAAAAGTCCCAATTCCTGTAGAAAGTCTCCTCTGGCATCTGTTTCTAGGAGTCAATTGGTATGAAGGATGACTACCCACTGTGACATGGAGACAAATGGTCTAATCTACCCCATGCCATATTGGCTTCCTTGGAACACCAGAACAGAGCCCAAATAATTCACAGAGCAGCAGTATCTCTGTCCTCAGCATAGGTGGGACACCAGTTCCCATCTGCTGCAGCTGCATTCTGCAGGCAGACCCTAGTCAATAAATGGGCACCAAAGTATAATCAGGTACCTCCACACTTCCAGAGAAGACACCCATGACTCACTACCTAGGAGGGCTGGTGAGTTTAAAAAATGACCTTTTCTTAGGCTTTGAGTACGGGGTGTTTAGTACTCTGGATTCTTCCGGGATTTTTGCTGATGTAGGGGAACATAACCAATAAGGACTCAGAGCTCTGCAGAGCAAGTATACACAGATATTCTTATACAAAAGCCAAATCTCATAATTTAGACTTTTCTTCACAACTACGTAATCCTGATTAATGAGGATTTTATTTAATGAGGACTGTATTTAAATATAACTCAGACCAGCTACGTGAGAGGTCTGCACATCATCAGGGAGCTGTTTCAGCTGTCCATGCAGTGGGCTGGGTGCCTCAGCCCTAAACAGCTGCAGCTGATATTCAGCAACATTCCCTTGCCCAGACCTCAACTAGAAGCTCTTGGGAGATCCTGCAGAAGAAGACGTTCCAAGCCCTGGCTCCGGTCTTATGTCAGGCTCTGGAAGGGCTGCCCTGTACATTCCAAGTTTTAAGGAGCACAAGAGCATAAAACAAGTCATCAGGCGTGGTCTCAGGTTTTCTAAAAATGCTGTCCCCTGTATGCACTATAACCCTTCTTGGCTTATTTTTTCCCTAAGCATTTTGCCATCTGCCAAATTATACTTATTTATCTTTATTTTCTCTCTCCTTACTAAATTATTAGTCCGAAAACGGCAGGAATTTTTGTCTCTTTTGATGTCAGCTGTATCTCCATGTCCAAGAACAGTATACAGTAACTGCAGGGGACTGCGGTTTTAGATGGGTAGCCAGCAAACACCTTACTGAGCTGATGTTGAACTACAAAGGGGTGCGTAAGCATTAGGGTGAGGACGCATACAGTGGGCTAGCTGAGTGCCTGGCATACAATAAGACTCAATAAATTCAAACTAATACTCTGATTGTCAAGAGTGCCTGAAATCACGGGAGCTGGCTACTTTTTTCCCTTTCCTTAGGGGCTTCAGGAGATAATGTATGATTTCGGTGACTGTTCCTGGAGCTCCTCATTGACTCTCATCTCAGTACCGGAGCCCTCAAATCTCACTTTTTGCTTAAGGCCCAGCTCAAGTGCCACTTCTTAAAAGGCACTTTCCTAGTATACTATTCTCTCTCGCTCATGTCCTTAGAGACATCTCTGATCCTCTTTCATTCAGACGCCGGGTTCTAGTCGGAGTTCCAACACTAAGTCGCTATTTGTTTTCGGACGAGTCACTTTAATCTGGTTCTCATTTTTCATCCCTAAAAAGTCATATAAGACGACCTACTTCCCGGCTCTAATATTTAACGACTCAAAAGAGCAAAACCCACATCCCCACGCCCTTCTCAAAGCTCACTCGACAATCCTAACGGTAGCTGGCGCCCGCTGTACGGGGTCTCCGCAAAAGCCTAAGCTGTAGTCGCGGGCGGTCACTGCCTACGTGGCGGAGGAACTGGTTTCTGGAGGAGGAACCGGAGGAAACCGGCAGAGCTACCTCACCCTGGAAACACCTGCCCTTTCCCAGACCGTCCGCCCTCTCGGCATTTCCGGGTCTCCCCCGATTTTCTTCCGGAACACTTGCTCGCGTCTGACTCCGCCCCCCTCCACTCTTTAGAGTCCATTGGCTGTTTCTTTGAGGAAGAGGAGCATTTCCGGGCGTTGATTGGTTTCTGTCATTATTGATGGGTTAGTTACAAACAAGGCGTGCCTGGTCTCCCTGGGAACGCTCTGCCGATAGCCCTGATTGGTCCTTGTCCTAATTCCATCTCCCATCCCAACTGCGAGTGGTTGAGTCCCTTGGCGGGGTGCGGCGGCGGTAGGTGTGGCGTATGGGATTCCCGAGCTGACGTGGCTTAAATTTGGGAGGCGGGGCAGCTAAAGCCTCCGGTGGCAGCCTCTTTCAGGTGAGTGGGGGGAAGCTCCCCGACTCCTTCCCTCCTAGAGTCACCCCCGCCACAAGGCCCGCGGGGGCTGCCGAAGCAGCCCCACTCGGGTCCCCTCCTCGCCCCGCCTCCCCTCGATTCAGTCCCGAATCCGGCCCATCATCCGCCTCACTTTACCTATCAGGCCTAGTTCTAGTCGCCCACACTCTAGCTCGCCCCGCCAGAGGGCTTCGGGGTCGCCCTGCGCGGCCTTGGAGACATATGCGCTGTGTGCCCCCTCGCAGGACGTTTCTTCTCCGGGAGCGACGGAGAAAGGCGCTCGGGTCAGTCCTGTCCGCAGGGCCCTGTTCCCTGAGCGGCCTGCTCAGGCCGGCCTGGGTACACAGCGGCTGACGTAGGAGAGAACCTGCCGGGCCCCTGCGCTCAGTCCCGGAACAAACTTAGTGTCCGGAAGGGGAGGCGGGACCCAAACAAATCAAAGGTCGTGAGGGCAGAGATCATAGAAACATTGGAGATATTAACGCCAACGAGGGCTTGTCCAACGATCCTGCTAATGAGTTGCTGGAGAGATTCGGAGAGAGGGATGATTCTTGTGACCCCATCAACACTAAAATCCCAGGAATAAGGTGGGCAGGCTGTTAGAGGAAATGGAACCCTGAGGAAAGTTCTGGAGGAAAAAGAACTTGATTTGGTGGTGTGGAGGATGTTTATTCTGCTTAATGGGCGTGGTGTGTAGGAATGTGAAGGGAAGGTTGAGCCCCTTGACAAATGAGGAATATATTTGTCTGACTTATTTAAAGAGTTCCAGCTGGCCTATGGGGAGAGAACAACTTAAGAGTAGGACAGAAATATTTAAAATAACTGGATAAGTACTTTCACTTTTGGAGGTAGTTGGAAACTTTCTGAGCTTTTAAAGAATCTTAACGGTTCTGTGCAAGATGGCAGTGAAATCCCTTGCAGAAAGGTTGGAGGCTTTTCCAGAAGCATGAAGTAATTAAATTCGGATGGTCAGAATGATTACGAATGCTCAAAATCAGGAAACGTTCTTTTGGAAAATGACAGGATTTGATCCTGGAATAGATATACAGTTAAAAGTTGAAGAGAACTAAAAAATTGCCTTGCACACTGACTGTTTCACAGCTTTTGCTTCACCTCTTGACCACGGAATGACCATTTAATGCTTTCCTCTTCACTGCCTTAAATTTGACTACATCACTAGCTTCCAAATATTTTTGTGTGTGTGTGAGGAAGATGGGCCCTGAGCTAACATCTGCAAATCCTCCTCTTTTTGCTGAGGAAGAGTGGCCCTGGGCTAACGTCCATGCTCATCTTCCTCTACTTTATATGGGACGCTGCCACAGCATGGCTCGACAAGTGGTGCGTCCGTGCGCGCCTGGGATCCGAACTGGGGAACCCTGGGCCACCGCGAGCGTGCGCCCTTAACTGCTTGTGCCACCAGGCCGGCCCCCCAAATATTTTTAATTGCATACTCTATCAGTAAACCTTTTTGAGCAAGCATCCTCCAAATATTGTATATTTAATTATGGATACTATATGAATTGCAGTGTAAATACATTACTTATTCCAAAACATGTATTTTAAAAGATGCAAAAGAAATTCTTGCCCATTCCCTGGGACACTCTCAACCTAATTTGGAGATCACATAAAGGTGTTTCCTTATTCTTCAAGAAGTCTGTTTGTATTTCTGAGGACTTCCAGACTAGGGGGAACTTCCATTCTTTTTTTTTTATTCTAAGGCCTGGATAACAGCCTCTGCTAAAAGTAATCATCTTTAAGAGAGAATTCTTTTTTCTTTGTGCTTGACTCTTAAAGGCCTCCTCTCTTTTTAACCTTTTGCATTAATGGATTAATTAAAGGGATGTAGATTTTACTCTTGTTTATAAAAAATAAATCATAAACTTCTCTAGGTTAACTACTATTAGGGATAAATTATTTAGGGCACATCTCACCACTGGTCATTACATACTAGTCTATTGTTAGGAACCACTATATAAAAGGATGTTAGGCTCTGTAATACTCTATTTTTAATTAAGCTATTTTAAAATCAGCAATATGTGCTTTTGGCAAAATTAAATTCAATACCAAAGGATATAATGTTAAAACAGAAATCTCTTTCTCCTCTGTCTACTGACCCTTTTCCCCATTCCCTACTTCCCAAGAGTAAGCACTGTATTTATTCTTAAGAAACTTTCTGATCATATTCAAGCACATATATAGTATATACCCCCCTCCTTTTTTCTCTCACACAGGTGGAATCATAATATACATACTATTTTACACCTTTCTTTTGCCACTCAATACTATATATTAGGTATTTTTCTATATCCGTAAGTATAAAACCACCTCATTCTTTTAAAAAGCTATACAGCATTCCCTTGTAGAAACATCAAAATGTATTTGGCCAGTCCTCTGTTGATGGACATTTAGGTTGTTTTCAGACATTAGCCATCACAAACACTGCTGTAGTGAACATCCATGTTCGTATATCCTTGTGCCCTTGCGTGAGCCTATCTGTAATATAAACAATATGGAATTCTTTGGGGCTGTACTACTCTGAATCATTTCATTTTAGTCTATGTATTGCTCGAAAATACTACTTATAAAATTATAAGTATATATAAAGGATATGAGTGCCCTCATGCCTCCAGCCCTATTTGCAGCCCCAGTGAAGAATGTTGGGTGATGAGGTTACAAAGAAAATAGTTTATCTTCTCTATCTCTACCAGCCAAGAAGCTTTGTCAAGCTCTGTGACTGGGCAAATTACTTAACCTCCCTATGCCTTAGTTTACTCACCTTAAAACTGGGATATTGTAGTTACCTCCTCCTTGGGGTTGTTTTAATAATAAAATGAGTACAGTAATGAGGATAAATAAGTTATTATATGTAAAGCAATTGGAGCAGTACTTAGTGCATAGTACTGTGTGTATAAATTATAGCTACCATTTACTTCTAAATTTGTTAATGAAAATAGTAAGGTTTTGTTTCACGAAAAATAATTTTAATTTTTTAATTGTAAAACTATAATATTGCATTTGTTTTTTCCAGCTATATAGCACTATTTCCTATCAGCTCCTCAAACTGGTTGATAATCACTTTGAGAATTAAAGAAAACTACTGAGGCTCAACTAAATAAGCATTAAATAAGTTTGAGGCGTGAGCTGGAAGTCTAACCATTTTCTGTGTTTTTATTTCTGTGGGAAAATGTGATTTAAATTCCAAAGCAAATTGTGCATATGCCTATATACACAGGCACGCACTCACTGTCTTCAGGTATTTTATTTTCCCATGCATTTTGTACTAAGTTCTTCGTAGTTAGGGACATGCCTTATATTTCTTTTTATATTTTTGTGGCTCCTGGCATAATGCTCTACACCAAGTAGGTATTTTGAAAATAATTATTGATCTCAGTGGAGACTTTGAGAAAATAAGACTCATTGAATTGTAAGTGTTGAGATCCTGTGGCAGGGTTTGTGGAAGGTGTGGCCAGCATTGACTTTGAAGGATTCATTTATTTGCCTAAGTGTTTTATTGAAGCCTGGCCTTGGCATGAAGCTCTTTATTTTAGTCTTTTCCCGAGTTGCTACTCATGATTCTGGTGCTTTGTAAAATAATAGCAAGGGCATTGCTTGTCCAGCAGTCACATATATTCCTTACATGAATTTATTACTATGAACATGAATATTTTCCCCTTCACTAATTTTTGTATATGCGTTTGCCCATTTCTGTCCTACAGTGAGATCCGTCTTTCTTCATTTAGTTTAAGCTGGCTACTTAGTGGCTCTCTTGCCCTCAAGTTCCCAACCTTTGAGCTACCTAAAGCGCTTAACTGTGCCTGAGATGCCTTTCCCATTTACATTTCCATATGATTCCTTTCATGTCAACAGCCACAGAAATCACTCTTGAATCATGGAGTCATATACAGGGACATTAGAATGCTCCTTGTCAGTCTTCTTCATTTTAAGATGAGGAAACTGTAGAGTGACTTACCCAGCACAACATGACCTCTTTGTGTTGGAGCCAGGACTGGAAGCTCAGTTCCTGGCTCCCACTTTGGTGCTCTTTCCACTGTGCCATCTACCTTCTCTTGGACCTCTCAGACTGTTGAATCAGTCTATGAGATGCTTCTTTTACTTAAGCCTGAAATGGCACATCCCTGATACTGATCTTTCCTTTCTTCAAATGTACATATTTTTAAATGGTTGTTTGAGAAAAGTAACCCATTTTCCATTTAAAGAACTTTTTTGTCTTATTCAATACTGCTTATTTAGCTGAGAGACTTGGAAATGTCTTAACTTCTCTGAGTGTCAGTTCTCCTCATCTATAAAATGGGGATGATGATAATACCTACCTTGCAGATTTTGTAAGGATTAGAGAGAAATATATATAAAGTGTCTGGTACATATTGCTTAATAATTGTTACTGTTAATATTATTATTATCCTATGTTTGTCTGTATGTGTCCATCATATGCAATAACTTTCACTAGAATGCTGGTGGAGACACACCCTTCTAGGGAGGGTGATCAGAATCTCATGTATGGTAGTGGTGGACTGGGGGGGGAGTTTCAGTTTGAAAACACCATTCAGGATTTTCATTTTATATTTGGAAGATGAAAAAATCATATTTTCACAATAGAAATTACATATCCACCCCAATCTTCTCGGCTAATGGTGATATGCAAAAGATTTGATCTAGGGCATACCACTGTGGGTGAGTATTTGTGTGCCCATGTTTGTGTATACATGGTAGTTTTACATTTCTCTAAAGGGTATATGGTTTAAAAATGGTTGAGAAACATTGTCACTATGTCTGAAATCTCAGTACTTTTCTGTTAAGCCCTAAAGGTAGTGGCAGTAGCAGTAGGATCCAAGCTACTTACAGGAGAACGTGTGGGTGCACACAGCAGGGCTGTGACAGAGGTGGGCTGGGGAATCTGACCTGAAAGTGGGGTATATACAGGTCAGGGTGGGTAACGAGCTAGGAGTTAAGTGGCGAAACCT